TTAGATTTATGTGAAGCACACTATTTTCTCTATGAAAATTGTTACGACCCATTGAGGTTCTTTACCGCCAAAAATATCTCCCCCATCTCTATCTATCATACGCTATATGTCATGTTCCATCTTCTTAAGCTACCGCATTCCATAACTCATTAACGCTGTCTATCCATCTTTTCCGTGGTCTTCCTCTTGTTCGCCTCCCCGCTTAAGTCCAAGTCATTATTTCTTTTATTAGGCATTCGTCCGCTCGCCACGCATGTCCGGTCCATTGCATTCTTATTACTTTAATAAATTGTACAATATCTTCCCTTTTGTATAAGTTTCCAGATGTGCGTTCGTTATCAATTCCCATTGTTGTGTTTCGGTATTAAACACTGGACCGTGTATTCTTCTTAAGATTTCCTTTTCGCATTTTCTTAGTTTCCCTTCATGAAAATATAAACGCTTATAATAAACATTTGAAAACAAAAATAAAAAATCGGCCTTTTAGCCCCCCATAGAGAAGATGTTAACTTTATAACAAAATAGTTTTTTGTTTACGGTTCCGTAGACACTTCAGAGAGTGTATTCGTGTTTTAGTTTATATTTTTTTATAAAATTTGGCGTTTTCCGTTTCCCTAAACTTAACACCAGTTGTGAACATGTGTACTAACACCATTGTTGGTATGTTGATCTATTTGTTAAATATTATAAATTACGGAGAGCCACTGGTTTAAGGATCTATGACCGACTGCCACTGCGTCCGGTGGCACACAAGAGCAGCCCTGGTCGGTCAAGGCCGAGCACTTGACACAGTACACATTTTTGTAGCTTAAAACTGTGAAGATTGGAGCACGCGGTACAGCGTCTTCTTCTGTGAAAGATTAGTTTAAAACAAATAGAATTGAGTTTTCTTATGTTTAACAGTTAAGAACGACACATTAAATATTACTCATAAACATATCTTATGCAGTACGCTTATTGTTCAATTGTATTTTCTTGTACTTGGAACATTAACTTACTTCACTGTACGCATCAATATTTTAATCAGAGCTGGGCGTATTCATAATCATGATTATGATTTTGAGTATAATCACATGTGGGGAATGTGTGATTATGAATATTAGTGTATTCACAAGGACCTGACTTGTAATCACTGACTTATGAATACAGGTGTGATTATGATTATGAATATGAATACGGCAAAAATCTTAGGCGTGATTATGATTTTCCCCGTATTCATATTCATGGCTAAGGTTTTCGCCATATTCGCGTTGATTTTGATTAAAAATACAGCTATCAATATGAATATGATTGTGAATAATGCGAAAATCAAAATCACGCCTATGATTTTTGCCGTATTTTAATTCATAGTCATAATCACAACTGTATTCATAATCATCAGTCAAGAGCTTGTGAATACACTCATATTCATAATCACACATTCCCCCCATGCGATTATACTCAAAATCATAATCGTGATTATGAATACGCCCAACTCTGATTTTAATCATATCTATATCATGTCTGACTCATATACCAGTTCGCCAGGTGGTAACATAGAAAAAAATCACTCACACAATCACAAAATTCTGAATACATTTCAGATTCAATGCCGTGGACGCAGTTGAAGTCCCATTGGAGTATCGAAATGACGCGCCTGGACCGTTGGCGGAAGCGTCGAGCGTGGGCAGTTTTGTTCAAATAACGCGAGCAAGTTTTCTCCGTCGGCGGACGTCTATAAATCACGATTTGTGCCTGTGGCCCAGACAGGCCTGTGCAATTAAAAATTCGGTCGGTACCATTAGCCCGTTGGCAGAGAATACGCGACGGTGCGGTTCGATGGTTTCAATGGTGCGACCGACCGGTATAATAATAATATGACAATAATGGTTTTGCGCTTGCATTGTCTTCATGGTATTTTTTTTCCGGCTCCAAACGTCACCGATTGTTAATGTCGTTAATTAACCGTTAATGGATTCCCCGAAACATGCTCTACTTGAATTCAATACAAAATATAATATATTACATTATTCAACATTAAATTCCCATAATGGTACAATATCATTAGTACTGGTATTAGTATTATATTATTGTAGATAAGTCCGTGAAAGCCTATAAATCTGTAAAGTCTGTAGATAACAACTGGACTTTCAAAAATTACCCTTTAAAACAAACATTAACGAAAATATTTTTGACTTGAACAATATATCAGCTCAATAATTGTATAATACTTATTAAATACGCACTGTTATTGTATTTATGCTTGTGCTGTTCGAGTTGTGTACAAGCTAACTAAACCTTTTCATATTACAAAAAACATGACCCATTTTAATGACCCATCTTTCTTTGTAGAACTTTTCGATATTAAAGCAAATATTTGAAAACGTTTTATTAATATTTTTTGACCAGAAACAGTTAAATACAATTTTTACTATTAATTTTATTATATTTAAATTAATTGTTGTGCCCAATGAAAAGTTGCTAAAATATTGCGTAATTCAGTCAATTTCAATTGAAAAGGCAATTCATGTTTTCTGCTCTGTACTATCCGATAACTGCTAAGAAATAATATGAATTGTGTTTTTTTTAGATTACCACGAAACAAGTTGTTATGGAAAAATAAAATCAACTTTTATCAAAAAAAAAAAGTTATTCGATAGGACAAGAAATTGTCAGTATTGCTCATTGTGATATATCTTATTTCGTCGAATTCAGACGACAAAATGCCAATAAAACAAGCCAAAATATCAGTTTCACAATAACAACAATAAAAAATTATTGTCAAGGGACAACGAACAGATATAATCGATAGAAATAATTGAAAAACGACGTAAAGGTTACCAAACTAACTGTTAAATAAAAAGTTGAAGCGTGCAAAAAAAAAAAAAAAAGAATAATAAAAAAGCGCCGGCCCGACCGACCGTTTAAAATAAATTTGTGTTTTTTCACCCCCAGGTTTGTATTGTAAATCAGTTTTCCATTACAAATAGTATACAAAATCTAATCTAACCTAACAATATTATTTGGTAGGTATTTTTGTTTTGTTTTATCGAGTTTACAGTCGATTGACTTCATATAAATGTACAGTTAAAATGTCATTATAACGTTATTATATGCTTAAAAATATTTCTATCGAACTTAAGAGTACCATATTATATTATATTGAATATAACGCATGTAACACTATCAATAAAGTCTAAAATAACGTTATACAAAGTCATAATTAAACCAATTGCTCTACATGCATGTGGTACGTGGGCCATGGCAAAATCGGACGAAGGAAAGTTAGGAGTGTTTGAAAGAAAGATATTAAGGAAAATCTTCGGTCCAAAGAGAAATAACGACGGAGAGTATGAAATGAGAAGCAACGAAGAATTGGGTAATCTCTATAAGGAACCTACCGTTATTGGGTCCCTGAAGAGCACGAGGATAAGTTGGGCGGGGCACGTATGGAGATCAGAGGGAATGATTGGATCAATAACTAAATGGAAACCCGACACTAAGAGACCTACAGGATGCCCTAGACAAAGAGAGAAGACTTGAAACTACTGAACGTAAGGAACGCAGAAGAATGTGCAAACGATAGAGAGGATTGGAGACAATATGATGTTGCGGCGATGGGTCTTAAAGGCCTGTAAAAGCCCAGAAAAAAAAAAAAGAATATAACGCATAGCTGATGTATATTAGGGGCTGTGGCGATTTTCGTGACATGTTACTACTCGACGATGAATAGTATACATAGTGTAATAATTACGATTCATGTTAAGCCACGTGTTAACGTGGATTTCTCTTTATATAATTAGTTGATTATGACTTTTGCATTAAACATTCGCCTTACTGGTAACCATAATATAGCTCAACGGGATTTTATAGGACCGCTAACCTTATAGCTGAGTTCTATTGCCGACGGAGCAAATTATAAGGATATTTTTGTAACCAGAGTACTGGTTATACAGTGATGTTGTAGGTGTTCACGGCAGTTACCTCAACCAGGGCGGACACGTTAAGAGCTAAAATACGTCACTTAGGCCAGGAGCACATGGAACGATAAAAAACAAAACAAAAATTTGTTTTTGTTCTTTAAAAATCCTTTTTTCTCTTGATATATTTTTTTTTCTGTTAGAAAATAAAAGTTATTTATGGTAATTTATTCGGGCACCGGAAAAGCTATAAGAAACTGCACAGAAAAACAAACATGCTTCGAAATAGCTCTCAAAACTCTGTGAAATTTAACAATTTCCCATGCAAGTGTATACATATATATATATATATATTAATCAAATATATCTCACTCGGTTTCTGTGTCCCAGCGGGACGAGGTAATTTGTCATGACCGTTTTACTCCTCCACCGCTGAACGATGACAGGAGTAATTAGTACGACCGTCTTGTCAAAATTATATTTAGAATGACCGTAGGTAACCGCGTTCGGTGTAACTAACCAAAAGTACAGTTTTTTATTTCTATTCGAGCGCACACAAATGGGAGTTTCCACTAGTGTTTTGGCAGGGTTTTCCACTCTTTGGGAATAATAAGCTAGTATGGCCACCTCGTTGTTAATAAATTACAAAATTATCCACACACGGCTGTGTTACCTTTTTACAAAATGTTTGCACATACGCCTTTTTGTTTGTACATCATCGAGGGTTCGCGTTAGAACAATATACAACCGTGCAGTGTTTTTGTATAATTCGGGAATTTGTATTCACCGCCGAGATTGATGTTTTACGCGCGTCTAGCTCTAACGCTTTGGCCTCCTCTTTAGGTCGGTTTTGGTTTTGCCACTCGCCTATACTCGCTGTACTGTATTTGAGGATAACCGTAGGTATGGAGATTAGTTCATTAGTAAAGTTGAACGAGGACACTAAATGGCTAATACGCAAAGTACACGACTGCAACACGAGGTACGAAAAGATAACGCGCGCGGCCATGTTTTGCCAACAACATAGTACTGTTTCTTTAAGCGGGCACAAAATAACATTGCGACAGCTGAAAGTAGTTTAAACTTTACAATCGTACTTACCGATGAATTCCAAACCGCTGAGTTTCCACGTGCCGGTTTTCGTGACCAGTATACTACTGGGACACACATTGTGGTGGTGAACTTGGGGTGATAGAAAATCCAGAGCTTCGGCTATCTGAAATCAACAAAGCATTCAGGTTAAACGGTCGAAATGCGTAGACGTACAACGTAAAAAATATATTTAAAAATATTTTTTTCTACCTAGAAAAAAAAAAATGTATACAAATGGTGATACTTAATTAATACCAATAAAAAAGCAATAGAAAACAGCGCAGCGTTTACTCATCAATCTGAACAGTGGAAATGCTGCGGCTCATGATTAATTCATATTTTATCATAACAAACGGCTAACTAACTGAGGTTATCTTTTTTTTTTTTTTTTTATGTTGTATAATCTGGTGCCACTCTAAAATATACAATTAATATCGGGTACATAATAAATGCGTTATTATTACGACCGATTATATATTTTATTATACTTTACAAATAAATCAATTAGTCGTGGGCAGGGTTTTATTTATTGCATTTATTTCAGAGTTAAACTTTCACGAGAACGCACAAAATAGCATTGGTAGACGGAGAAAAATGTATGGAATTTAATTAAATTAACCTGAAATGAATACTATTATTAATTGCAAATGTTTATTTAGTTATCAAACGCTCTAGAAAATACATGCATTTCTTTGGACAAAATAATACATTTCAGACTAAAATTTAAATTACATCAAATTAATTCATCACGTGAGAGTTCATACAATTTTTTAAGAAAAAACATAATTTATAGAGAGGTAACGACCAATTATTGTTTTAATGAATTATTTTTGGTAAAACCAAAAACAATAAAACTCGGATAGACATTAGCAATATAACTTACAAAAATATATTAGTACCGTGGTTAGCTTATTGTTAGGTATCTATTATTTTCGTCGAATTTCTTATTGGGGATTTCGGTTAATCGTTTTTTTTACTAAAAAACATAACTATATTCAGTAAAACAACGTATGTAGGTGTATATACCTATAAACTATAAAGACGTCCGTTTATGGATGTCTTCCTATTAGTTTAAGTTCAAAAAGCCACATGAAAACCTACTCACATATATATATATATATATATATATGTACCGGTGAGTATATTGAGATTTTATAAAAGTACAGTGCGGGTTTTTCCTTTCATCGATCTAAGACTAAGGGTACATTCTATAAAAAAGGTAAAAACACATTTTTAACAAAACAAATAATCCATACCCGAACGCTTTCTCGTGTAAAATTTATTTTGTAGATCTTTCAATTAAAAAAACAAACTGAACTTTGTTAAACTACTTAAAAGAAAATTCCAATATAAGTATAATTAGTTTAGGTACTGTAATACTACACGGAGTAGTTTATAACAACCCTAATTTTGTTTTTAATGAGAATATTGTGTGTCTTGTTGGTTACCATGTCTGGAATGTTTATGAATTTCCGCCCTAAAATGAAACAACAAATTTCTTAAAATTCAAAATTTCGGACGTTGCTAGTCCTTTTTTAAAACTGCTATAATCACATAATATTAACATTTCAACCTTAAGTACTTCGGCCAAGTTATTTCAACTATTTGTATATTTGGCCAAAAGTTTTTCGTTATTTATTATGCTCCCTCTTTTTACAATGTCACGCCCTACCTCTTTGCATATCCCACAGTATTGTTTCCGTTTGTTATAATTTTTGAAATTTAATTTAATTTTTAGGAAACCCTGAAAATAATAATTAAGTTTACTTTAGTGAATAATACCTACTTCTTTTATTTTACTTACTTTGCAAAGTTCTTGGTGCCGAGGCTCCCAGAAAATTAAATATTCCTTAAGAAAACTCAAATACAAATAAAGGTGTAAAACCAGTAAACAGTGTTAAACAAACTTGTACTTTCTATCTTATTACGATTTTTAACAGCGATTTAAGAAGTATGTATTTCATTTTCGATTTAATAAAAATAATGTTTAAAATGTATTCAATAAGAAATGTTTTTTCAACGTAAATACCAGCCGTTGACCTAATAAATAAGTCTTTAGTGGTAAAAAAAAAAGATCATGAATCATTCTGATATCAATGAAACAATAACTATTTTTAATTACAAAATTCGCTTGCAATCTTTGGGCAATACAATTTAAACGGGTAATTGCACTGATTAGTGTTGTGAGCGCTACGCTTTTATTTTTCTCCACTTAGTTTCACGTTACTACCGTGTGCTTGGATATTAACTAACATAGCAAGTTTTAAAGATTTTTATAAATTTGTCCTAAAGTGTAAAATTTTAATTAACACTACCGTTTTTTCCTACAAGAGAAGTTGTACTTAGTTGAAAAGCTTATCATCAAATCAACCCACGCGCCGCAATGATGTACAATTTTACAAAGCCCCCGTGCTAATAGTTCTGTTTGTGTATTTAATTTCATAATACAATCGTTGACGGTATTTTAATAATACATCGAATTCACTAATGAAAATGTACATAGCACGCAGTTCATAAAATATAGTTACCATAGTAAGATAGATCGTGTATAGACTAGTGTGGCTGATGCGGTGTACGTATTCATTAATACTAGTGTTCACACCTTTGATCATAATATTATACATATCGTTCTAATGACTAGATAAATATTTAGTTAACTTACTTACACGTGTCGTCTTGTAAGAACTCTTTCAAGATTCAGTCGCTTTCTCCACAAAATCACCTTATCATCAATGTTCTCAATTATCTCTAATCCACTCAAGGCCGACTACTCTATACTCTCCTTACGCCAATCGGTTCTTTGACTTTCAGTTAGACACTTGTATTCACTTCAAGCAATTTCTACGAGCTATGTGATAATTGAAAAAAAGCAAAAAGGTGATTCTCTAGCTAAAGCCATTGATAACTTTCTTTTAAATATCGTAAATAGTAAAATGTATTTTCTGACTTAAGTCCTGTTGTCCATAAATCATTTTCAATTCGTGGAAAGCTTTACGGGTATCTTCTTCCACTCTTCTTCCAGGCAATGCAAACACATAATATATTCCAGAAATTCCTAGAATTTGTAGGTTCTTTAATGTTAAACTCTTTAAGTTCTCGGCGTATTTCGTTATAGACTTAGATGCGGTGATAATTTTCTACCTGTCCGTGCATTTTCATTATGGCTTAACTCCACCCCAATTGGTAGCAGTTAATAAATTTCAATTCATTTTTTCACATTTTATAAACTTATTATCAGATTGATAATGGGTATTTTTCATTGTACAATAAATATGTATGTGAGAACTTTTAATGGTTTGGGAGTAGGAAGTTTACAAAATAAAATCATTTAGTATAATCAGAATCATTAGAGGTGTCAGTTGATGAATGAGTCTTACTTTTTGGTCACATATTTATGCATTACTGCTTACTATTTAATTGTTACATATTTTTTAACTTATTGCCTATGGATTTATAAGTTAGACACGCGGTGATAAATCAAAATGCAAATTCCCTCTAAAATTGCCCTACATTTTTCACTAATTCAAATTCATATTCAAATTGATTAAAGTCGCATAGCTTGAGTTCTGAGAAAAAAATTATGCTTGCGAATTTTTTTTTTATCCTAAAGGTTTTTGTTATCTAATAAAACGCGAGTAAATGACATAGTTTTAAGATAATTTATTTTTATTTTTTGAAAAATACTCAACAATGAGGACAAAAGTTAGGTTAATTAATACAGTATTTTCTCTTGGATAATTGCCCTTCAAATAAATTTTAATTAATTATACAAACACTTTTCAACGCAACAGAACTAAACGATTTAATTATGAATTAACATGACAAAAGCAGCATAATTTGTATTTTAATTCAACTTGAATTGTAAAGCATTCGGCTACTGACTTGGTCCTATTAAATAATAACACTTTACTGACATATAACGTACAAACTATAATTACTTAATAGCTGGATTAAACTTATAAGTTTGAACTAATTTTTTTAATTTGTTATTCGTTTATCATGACTACACAAAATGATTTTCCATTTATATTTCGCCGAGAATACTTTTTTATTTAATTAACGAGAAACTCGTATATACTTGTCTTTAAAATACGCGTTTTTAAAACTTTATCAAAAAAATTACCTATAAGACGGTCTAGAGTAAATTGTATTTTATTAACTAATAAAAAAATATAAATATTTAGTGACCCTGTTATCATCCAACAGGTAAGGGGTAATATTTTATAATAGTGTGGCATAATATACTATACTTGATAACATTTATCTTTTTCATTTTACGTTATGAAAGAAAAATTAACTATTTAGTGCTAACCAAAAGAGAACACAAATTTTTTTTTATACAATTTTTATAGAAAACGTAAAGAAAAAATAATATATTTTTAATTCGTTTTTATTAGTTTGTCTACATTTGTTTTTTTTTTTAATAAAATCTCAACTTCTTATTCGACTACGTACTTTAAATTGTTTAAAACCGTGAATAATTTTTCTCGTATAATCCTACAAAAGTTTTGAACATTAAATTTTTTAATAGCTGTCCTTCTCTCGACCAACTGTTTTAATTCCATACGTATCGAACTATTATTATATATCTAAGTATCTAATAGCATATATTTTATTTTATTTTTAACTTCGATACGGACGTTCAATCATCACCAGAAAAGTCTCCTATCGTTACGCGCACACTTGATAAATCATAATATTTTGACGAGCAGTGGGCAGTGCAGTGTTTCGTTTATGTTTCTGTTGTGATTTTAACCACTCAATCTAGAGTGAAATCACAATGCTATGCAGTCTATATAACGCGTGGTACGTTTATTAAGGTGCCACTTTTGTGAACATCGCTCTTCTCTACGTGATCTGTCAAAAAAACTACTTGCATTTAAGCTGCGTAGGTGTTGGTATTGCACTGTAAGCGTAGGTACATCTTCGAAAAAGGCCATCGCACAGCATCAACAACCGTATAATATAATAGTATTTAAGGTTTGAAAATAATACGACGTTGTATTCGTTTGCCATTTCGGATAACTTCTATTAAACAGTATCTTGAGCGGTCACCGAAGTCAATTGACGAAATTATTAAATCGTATTGTTCATGTTAAAAATATGAGTAAAAAAAAAAATTAAAAAATACCAACGTTATATACTTAAAAAAAAAAAATGTGCAAGAACACACAACACCGATAAACTCAATCGAATATTTCGCCTAAATTACAATAAAAAAATGTTTCGAGTGTGACAGGTGACTATTATTATTTTTAAAAATATAAATAAAGTTGGAAAATACAAACCATTATAAACCAAACATTTGTACATAAAAGTATCTATTCCGATTTTCAATTCTTTTTGTCAGTTTTTTATTTTTGTACGTTCACCATTTATATTCATGTCAATCTCAAAAGTTTCAATTTTACTCTTGAGACGCCAAATGTTATTGAAATAATATTCAGTTATTCAAAAATCATTAATTCGAAAAACCGGCAGCACCTGTTCGGCCAACCGAAAACCTTTTTACAGAATAAACGAACATTTATAATTCGGCTTAACTAATTATTATAAAATGTATATATAGATCGGTTCAAATATTAAATACCCAAACGGAGTTAGTGGAAAACATTTTTTATTAAAATTAAATGTTAAACATTATATTGCAATCGAAAATCAAATATTATTAAAAAAAAATACATACAAATCAACTGCGTATGTGATTAAAGGGATTAAACAAAGTATTTCAATAATATTTTATTAATTTTTGTATTGTGCTTTATGTAACGTGCTGCTGCTAATGTTCATTTAAAGATCCAATTTGGCCAAACATTACAACGTTAAATTCGACATTATATAAAAAAACAAATCCAAAAGGCAAAATATAAATGAACGTCTGATTGAATAAATAAATAAATATTTCTCAAAAATGGCCAAGCGATTACAAAGCTTGATTATGAAAGTAAGATAACCTGCATAAGTTTTTAAGTTGTTTTTTGTTCCTATCCGATTCAAACTTATTTTACAAGGAGCTTAAACGGAAAAATATGCCATTAAAAGCAGTACAAAAATACACAAACAAAACTAAATCCTCAGAAGTGTTTTCTCCTAAGAGCCTCGAAACAACAATAAATCACGTTATAATTCACCAAACTTTGCCGCGGTTAAGAGTTTTCTATTTTACTCGTATGTTGGACGGATAAGTCTTAGGAGTAGTTCACCATTTATGTATAAGTAACGGTTTTCTTATTCACTTGCCAACTTCCAGTCAAAATCCTACACTATTAATTTAATTATTATTTGGCATTTATTGATTTTTTAATTTATATCATTTTCTACGTGAATATTTTCATATGATAACATATTTTGATTAGTTATGATGTATCACGACCTAAAATAATAGCATATAATATGAATATTGAAAAAAACCGGGTCAGCTATACATTTTTGTTTCGAATCGATAAAAAATTCATAACACTAGAATAAATTATTTTTACTCTCTCGTTGTTTATAGTAAGTCAATATTAATATCCATACAGAAATTAATTAATCGCTGCGGTTTTAAGCTGATTGGTTTTTAGCGTTTCATCAATTTCATATTAGTAAGTACTCAACGTCAGTATCAGAAAATACAATTTTTTTGGAAGTGCTTGTTATAATAATTACTGCCTTAATAGCTTTACAAGGTGGTTGGAATGTACGGGGTAGGCATCCCATCTATACCTAATCCTCACCCCATCCTTATCCCATCCACATTCCAACTCCATCTAAAAATTATCAAAAATATTATTTTGTTTGTGTACGTGTAAAGTAATGAAACTATCACTCAGCATTACTATTAAACTTGTAGATCCAAAAATGTCTTCAAAAAAAAAAATGTAATTCAATTCTAATAAGTTTGCATAATGGCTTAACAAGTGAACTTTAAATTAAGAAAGAAAAACTTGAAACCGAAGATTATATAATGAACTATTTGAATATAAATGTAATATTTGAAAGTTTAAATACAACACTGAATAATTACTTATTGATATTTTTTAACTCTACATTCTTTTTTTATATTTTATTTTTTAGTTAACTTAAAAAAAAATATGCTTGTAATGGTAAACCTAAATCCGTGACCTCTTACGGAAAAGAAAAACTTTAATGCTGTTTTGTTGAAATTACTATTTACAAGATTCGATCTTCAAATCCCAAGGCATATAGTTTAATATAAATGTTCTATTAGACTATTTTTTATCTGCAAAATTATACAAAACTAAAACTACTATAGAAATGTAAATTTTTAAAATACTCGTCGAGTTTCGAATATTGTCGGTGAACAGAACAGCTCTAGTTTATAAGACAAACCGAGTTTTCAAGTAGAGTTATCTATTGCTGGTTGAAAGAAAACCTTTTCTTTACAACTTACATCTAATATCGAACATATAACCTTACGCAGACGTACTGAATTGATCCAAGATATCGTTAAAGGTTTAAGTTATTTAATAATATATTTACCTGTCTGATTCCGTATTTGATTTCGAAATCTAAGAAGTTATACTCTCGTGCGTGCGCCGGCCGAGGTAGAGCTGACGTCGTGTGAGACGCTCCCGTCGATGGAGGTCCGCTACCCGATCGACCACCGACCGATGCTTGGTAAGCCAAGATGTTTGCTAGACTGGCTATCACGGGTTCTGCAGCAAAGGCCAGCGTTTCGTTGCAATCTTCTACCGAATGCACTACTTTTAGAATGAGCTTCGGCTGTCTGAGCATCTCCAAATAATGGACGCTCTTTTTCAAAATCTCTGTCACAGTTTCTTTTCGCCTAGGCTTGTGCAATTTGTCCGCTAGCTTTTTTTCGAAAACAAATATTGAAACTTCCTGAAAACAAAACATAAAAACACAAATGAGTTGACAAGTTCAAATCATAACGAGTACTTAATATTTATGGTATTTAGTGGTTACATTATGAGGTGAACGTGGTAAATGCAAATATAGTAATTGTACAATGTGTGCCTGTTATGTTGCATAAGCGTTTCGGTACGCACAGATAACAAATCTTTAGAAGTAGAGGTTCCAATGTTATCGCCGTTAACTACGGTAAGCTGTACGTTGTAATAAATATCACAGAATTAAGCTAGGATTTCACCTCAATTTGAACAAAACCAAATTGCTCTTAATATTTTAAAAGTATTATTACGGCAAGAGGAAAATTAAACATTCTCAACATTATAAGACATATTTCTTGAAATTGCATACATTACAGATATTACATACGTTTGGTATAATTTTTACACTAATATAAAAATATAACAATTGAAATGAAAATACAATATCAGACTGATTGGATTAAATACATTTAGTATAACTTTTACACTAATATAAAGCTATAACAATTGAAATGAGAATACAATATCAGACTGATTGGATTTGGAATTGGACACCCAGATTGTAATCGAGCAGACTAGATTCGTTAATAAATATATGAGCAGTATATTATTTTAATTTTATCAAAAAACAATTTAAAATGACGGATGATTTTTTTGAAAATTGAGTTTTAAAACATGTTGCGTATATAGTTTTCATCGTAATTCAATGTCATAATAAAAAATAGAAACTTTAATAATATAATTATTTAGAGGTGTCAACGCGCTAGTTATTTATAGCTAACCTATTTATAGCGTGTATACAAATTAAAAATTCTATACATTTTTTTTTTTAATTTATGAGATTGCGATTATTTAGAAATTTAGACAGCTACAATCATTTGTAATAGATTATTAATTAAATAATAGCTACTAACGAATTGTACAAAACTAACATAGCAAATACTGTTTTAAAGTTAGTTTTAAGCCTTAGAAAAATGATAAATGTATGCAATATCTTATAAAACCTAATAAAAAATGTTCATACAGCTATTACATGAATAGAAAATGCGGTGAAAAATAAATGGAAAACATACATTTGTAAAGCGATTTTAATAGTTAATTAAATTTTATCTAATGTCACCTCCATCTGTTAAGCAAAAACGTAGAACTGTCAGTCGACTGAACATGAATAATTAATTTACATTTGCTCTGCAGTGATTTGAATAGCTGAACCGTCCGTGCTATACTGTCTTCATCATCACTAGAGAATATATTATAATGTATAATATAACTCAGAGGGTCACGATAAGTAAAATATTAAAAAGCAAGCGAAAATGCGATATGCAGTGGGGCACATAATGTTTTTCATGTTCGCCAAACAGTGAATTTAATTGTTCAACGTACTATTAAAATCGATTAGTTTAAGAACGGGGACTTAAAATAAATTTTACAGAAGACACAAAAACTTTGAAATAAATTCATAATATCTATCATTGTGTCAAGTTCTTAAAAGTTCATACAAGTTCTCCAATACCTGTTTATAAAGAAATATCACGTTTTGTTCGCATTAACTTGTTTTTGTGTCAACACTCGACAGTGACCGTTTGTGTTTCATAGACATGTCTCTGTTCTGGACTCAACTAAAATTTTTATGTATGATAGAGTAGGTAAATATGAAATATACACTTTTCACTTTTCATTAAAAAAGAATATTAGACGATTTTGGATGATATCGCTGATATATTTTACTTTTTATACTAATAAAGTACTTATTTTAATAATGGATTAGTATTGTAATAATTGAACATTTCAGCATTATATTAAATCATTTTTAATGGATCCCGCGTTCAACTATGTTAGAGCTGAATGATCTTTTAAAAAATATATATATATGTACATGTTTTATCGTAATTAGGTTTCATTAAACGGTATCGATATTTTAACGGCAGTCTTATCGTTTGAATAATAAATATATTTGATTGAATTGTTTTCCAGTATCGTTTTCACTTTGCAGCATAATATAAATGCTTGGCCTCGTCTCGAAAACACGATTTCACGAGGCAATTCAATTTTAGGTCATATTGTCAGGTCACTTTGATGTGCCGACTAGATCGAGGTCGGTAATTTTGTCTACGTCGCGAGCAGGGCGCTCTGTAATTACTGTGCCTTTTAACAAAACTGTAATTATAATCGCTTTGTGGGACACGGGCCCTGACCAGATAAACGGTCCTGGCGAGACGAGTGATATTTACCTCGCTTTCCCTCTCAAACAAATTTAACTTAGTTGCGCCAATTTGAAAATAACCATTTTAGATTTTACCTCCTTTGGAGTACACAAACTCAAATTAATAGATTTATTTTATTCACTACTAACAAAACCAAATCGATATTATTTATCTTTTGACGATGATGAATATTAATTGAATTTTGCAAATCTCAAAATTAAGATTCGTTTGATTGCATGGCGTAAGACGCTTTTCAAATGGAGATTAGAAATAACTGATAATTTATTTATAGTTTCCGTTAGAGTTGAAGTTTTACGTTTTTCTGGAATTTTTATTTAAATGTAATTTTATATCAGTTGAATGTTATTTTTGATTTTAAATCAGTTTCATATGATTTTTTTTAAAGTTTCATTTAAAAAATTTAACTAGAACTTTTATTTCAGCAGTTCCACAAACAATGTCGGTTATTTTACATAGTGTTTTATTTGAGAATTTCAACAGTTGGACCGTTGAATGTCATTACTGTTTTAGTTTATTCACCCCAACAAAATTTATTATTATTACTATTTTTTTTTTTTTTTAGCAATAAGTAAGTAGGCATAAAATAATATTTCATTTTTATAATAACACATTTTATTGTTCCGGTGCGCCGAAAACAATACGTTTTATTACCGTTTTTGCTTTTGCACTCGAGGCTCATAAATGTGCTTTGTTATACATTACACACAAAACCGTCATATTACTCGAACATAGATTGATAACTAATGTGTTTTTTGTGAAGTACATGATACGCATCAACTGAAATGGGCCCCAAGTGTGTCTAGCACAGCGTTGTCGTAGCAAAAATACGACAGTCGGCGCTATAGATAGGCAATTTTGCTACACTTATGTAATACGGAAATAGTTTTGCATCAACAGATAAAAATGTGCAATAATAAATACAATACTGAATACACCATCAAAAAAATGAAAAAAACTTGTTATACCAGTTACAATCACAATATAGTATTTTTTGGGGATATTATATTATAAAAACGCGTTGTGTAACGTTAAAAAAGTTTAAAACAAAACAACTATTAAAATGAAAAAAATACACTGGATTACATAAAGTGTAATCGAATTGATGTTTTAATCGGACTGATTCATTATGCAACAATGAATACTTTTTTTTTAAGGCGTTGGTTAAATTATAGTAATTAAAAAAACGGCTAATAATACAAGTTAATCATAAACCGAAAGCATGATAACAAGAAACCAAACAAATTATCGAAATTGTATTTTTAAGTTATTGCGGTGTAAGTTTTATTTAAGAAAAAGTTTTACAATCAACTATGGTTGAAAATAACGCTGTACTTAATTAAAAACGAAGAGAAAGAAATCGAATTTCTCCACTCGAATAAAACTAATAAAGTATATTAGTTGTTACATTTTATAATGTACTAAATTTTCTGGTCTAACGAAAAATGTTGATATGAAAACATAATGGTAACCGACGACCAATAACGACGTTATTGTTAAAGATTTTAATTAAAAACTAATCGTTAAAAAAAAAAAACAACAGACAAGATATAATATTGATGTATTAAATATAAAACGTATAATAGGTATAATTCGCTTAAACAACGTAGAAAACATACATTTTTATTATCCTGTCATAGCCGTGACAGCAAAAACGTTACATTAGCTCATTGATTGCGAATATAATTGTACGGGTTAAGAATTAATAATATAAAAAATATACCGACCGACATTTACGCCGACGGTATAAACGCAATACATGTGATAATAGTTTGTTAACAGCTGCGCTGCGAAACAACACGTTAAATTGTAATTATATTCCTTTCGGGTTCCACCACGTGCGTCCGCGTTATGGGACAGCAGACAGCCGTGTACGGCACACGGTATAACGTGCATACACGAAGAGGTGGTAACACAGGTTATGTCGGATATCACTTGGGGAGGTGTGCGAACAAGAGAAAAAAAAATCCCCTTCATTCGGTTCGCGTGTTCGGGCACATTTTCACAGAGCCGGTGCGTGTACAACAGTATACACGATGGTTGCCGTCGTCCGCGTTTTGCATTGCAACCGGAAAAACGTAATGGGTCGTCAAAAGTGCTGTCGAAAGTCCAGGGCAAGCCGGACGATGGTCGTTCGCTGTCCATCAGAGAACATCAACCGAAAGTGCAGGAATTTTATTTGGAGATTATTAACATAATCTGATGAAACATGACAAAGGGGGCAGGAGTCGCCCGTCTCGGTCTGTACTTGATACTGCCGTCGTTTACAACAATTATGTGAAAATAATTAACAATGTCCAGGTCTGTCGAGTAGGAATCGACCTCGATAGTAATTGATATAAAAACACTGACATTTCCGAGAAGGCGTTTCCTACTCACATTAACCTAACCGAAATACCCATAGTTGTGTATCAATTTGTATAGTCAATATATTTAACTTGTCCAGTCTTACAAATACATAAATGACCCGTGGGATTGCCAAAGTTTTAGCTAACCGATTTGGTCAGGGTATGCTATGAAGGGGATGTATAGTCCATGAGAGGAGGTGAAAAGCGATTGCCCAAGCGTACAATGGTTAGCACGGAAATGTACTTGGCCAACTCTTTAGATAAAACTATCTTAACAAATAAAACAGTTAAATTTAATATTTTAAAGAACATTATACTTAGGTAATTTAAAAGTCAAACGTAGGAACAATATGTTTGTAAAGCATTCAAACATTATCGTTTTATCCAAATATACAATGTTAACTAATTAATAAAATAAACTA